AGTATGAGCTCATTTACCCCCTCTGCTTTAGGAGAACATTCACACTGTGTGCACATGGTGGGCACACACACCTTCAGGCAAACACTCATACACACAAAATAAAAAACGAGTTAAAAAGAGAAGGAAATCACTATCTGTGGTCCCTCTGCTTCTGCCGAGCTCCTCCCGCCCGCCCAGGCAGTTGGGAGACTTCTGTGGGGTAGGTTGGTCTGGGATGGTGAGGCCTGCGGGTGCATGTGAATTTTCTTTGGAGCGAGGAGATTCATGACTCTTGTATCTGGAGGCTGAGAACACCCAGCTCTCAAAAGATGATTTGCAGCCCCGTGTTAGCACTTTGCCTGGGAAGGGACACTCATTCTGTCTCTGTGAAGATGGTAATGGCTCTCTGGGGGACATGCCAGCTGAGACAGCCAGTTGGCTCAAAGCACAGCTTCTTTGAAAGCCATTGGCCAGGTCGTAGAAAGGCCAGGACTTGGCCTCGGTGCCAGGGTCCACCTTCCCAGAATGTGCTGCCGGGCGTATTCTCCTGAAGGAAGGGCTGAGGCAGCAACATTTGCCTCGAAGGCTGCGGGTACAGAGGGCATCTCTTAGGGAACCAGGCAGCTTGTCAGATTTTTTTTCTCATGTCTACAAATCCATCTGCCATTCATACTGATGCCCACCCAGAGAACCCTTGTGGTAAACAGTTCCAGCCTCCGAGGGTGCTTGGCTGGGGATGAAGAGCTTGCTGAGCGTGCGGCATTCCTCTGGGGGAGGAGGCGGCTTTCTTCAGAGCCCTTAAAGTGGCTTTTGCAGGCGGATTGGCCTTGTGGACGAGCCGTCCAACATGACTTTGGCAATGCCCTAGGTTGTGGGGGGGGAGAAGGCTTCCAAAGACCTCTCCTCTCCCGTAATTCTTCTAAAAGCAGGGTTACAGTTTCCTTGTTCCGAGACATTTCGTAAGGGAGGCCTCACGCTTGGGTGTCTTGGTGGCGAGAACTCCGATCCTCCTCCCTCCACCTCCAGAGTGCAGGGATACTCCGGGAGTGTGGCGCCCTGTCCAGTTCCATCTCCAGTTTCTTCCTACTGAGAAGTGTGCTATTTTCTCTCCTGGTCACAGAGCGATTGCAGCAGAAGAGGAAACACTGTTCTGTGATGCTCACGGGATGGGGTAGGGTTTGATGTGCACAGACCTGGTGTAGGATGAGGGTTTAGCAGCACATTGGTGACGGTTGTATTCAGTGGGATCTGTGTTACATTTACCACTCAGTGCTCACCGTCGACTTCTTACTTTAACGACTGAATGTCTCAACTAGGGGAGATGTGGTTTCCTGTTGACTTTTTTTTTTTTTTTTTACGTTAAAGACTGAATGTCTCAGAACTGGGGAAGATTTTGAAATGCAAGATGGCGTGATCTCACAAGATCACGTAGAAGCTAAGGCTCTGTGAGGCAACGTGGGCATGTTTCTTTGCCGTTTGTTTCTCTCGTTTGCATGCAGGTACATGTGTTTGCATGCAGTGACATACATGTTGGGGGGTCAGAGGTCAACTGGGCAGCATTATTCAGCAGCCATCCACCTTTGCTTTTTGAGACAGTCTTTCAGTGGGACTTGAGGTTTACGGACTCTGCCAGGATGGGTGGCTTGGGAATCCCGGGTATCTTCCTTTCTGCAGCTCACCAGTTCAGTTACAGCCTCGTCCCCGTCACCACGCCTGCCTTTTCCATGGGTGCTGAGCATGGGACTTAGTGCTCAGGCTTACACAGCAAACACCGACCAAGGTGTGCCCCTGGTCTTTCTGTGTGTGTGTGTGTGTGTGAGAGAGAGAGTGTGTGTCTGTATGTGTCTATCTGTGTGTGAAATTTTTTAAAAATAATTTTTAATTTTTTTCAATTTTATTTTACATGTGTGTTTTGTCCGCTTGTATCTGTGAGTATCATGTTCATGCCTGGTGCCCGAGGTGGCCAGAAGAGGGCAATGGCACCCCCTTGGAGTTACAGATGGGTGAGAGCTGCCACGTGGGTGCCGGGAATTGAACCTGTGTCCTCTGCAAGAACATCTGGTGCTCTTAACTGCTGAACCATCTCTCCAGACCCTCCTTGCCTTTTTCTAGGAGTTACGTTTTTCTTCAGGACTGGCGGCGCAAGCCTTTAATCCCAGCACTAGGGAGGCAGAGGCAGGCAGATCTACAAGTTCCAGGCCAGCCTGGTCTACAGAGTGAATTCCAGGCCATCTGGAGCTCTATACATTGAGACCCTCTCAACACAACAATTTGTTTGTTTGTTTGTTTTCTGAAGACTGTCCTTCTAGACTCTTAGAGGGAAGACAGGGATAACAAAAGATGTTTTAGAAATAGAATTATGTCATTTAAAGCTGCTGATGCTATGCTTTTTGTTTGTTTGTTTGTTTGTTTCTCGAGACAGGGTTTCTCTTTGTAACAGTCCCCGACTCTGTAGACCAGGCTGACCTGGAACTCACAGAGATCCGCCTGCCTCTGCCTCCCGAGTGCTGGGATTAGAGGCGTGTGCCAAAGCTGATGACTATTGACCGGGTTTTAAGCTGCAGGAAATTTTGAACTAATGCCTTCCTAGAGTTTCTCCTCACTGAGGACTTTGTGTCAGAGAAGGGGCCGGTCGCCCTTTGGGGAAAAAGCATAGAAGAACTGGGGTTTGTCAGTTTCAGCTGTGGGAAGCTGGGGGGGGGGCAGAGCAGGACCTAAAAGGATTCTAACCCCCTCAGGAAATTTTTAGTAATAAGCCCTTGATAGACGGTCTGCTTGAGGAGTAGCGTGACTGTCACTGATCCTCGATGCCCCTCTGCCCACTCTCGGCCGTATTTGAACCTGCTGTGTCTCTATAGCTTCTGTCTGTGCTGCTGTAGTGTGTGACAAGGGGAAGGACAGGCGGGGGGGGCTGGCGGGATGCAGTTCCTGTTCTTTGGGGTGTCTGGGGCGTCATTATTGCCAGGACTCCTGATCACACTCTTATTTCGTAGCCCGTGTCTGTTTCATGTCTTCGCCTGTGGCCTGGGAGTAATAGCCACACGCTGCCGACAGATGGGTGTGGTAAAAACAGGTGCAGAAGCAGAAGGAAATGGGCAACGGGAGATGGGCAGTCATTTTCCTAAAAGTTTTCAGGCAGGCATTTGGTTTTGCAAGCAGCATTTGCCTTAAAATTGCCCCATTAGTTGGGTGGGGGGTTGGGGGGGAGTGGATGTGGAGGAGAGGGAGAGGGAGCTGGGACTGACATGTTTCTAATTTAAATATATAATAAAAAAGTGTTAAAAAATAAGGACACACACACACACACCAAGAACAAAACTGCCCCATTAGGCAAAAAAGGAATTCACGGGACAAATATTAGCTAGTTGGGTTCTGCATGGGACAGACTTTGTACCTGGGCATGTAAGTGGCCACCAGAACCTCTTGAACTCTTGCTACCAAGTAACCCTGAAAAGGCTCACGGAGCCAGCACTGATCACAGATGAGCGCACAACGTCCTCTGCCTGAGTCATCAAGGTACTTGCAAAGGCAGGTGGGTGAAAAGCCCAACACATCCCACCGTGGGGGAGCCTGAATTACTAGCATCATTTGGATCCCAGATGGTCTCCGGCTTGACTTTTCCCCTAGAAGCTAGCCCAGAGAGGAAATGACCCAGATTTTATACTTAGCAAAAACCTGTGTCCAGCCTCTCCAGTGGACCACTCTGTAGTTGAGACATCGGGTCGGTCACTTAACTTCTTGACCCTGTTTCCTCATCTGGGAATATGGGAGCAACGCGTTTTTTACAGATCTGTTGGGAGATACTAAGACCTAGAGGGGAATGAGACGAATCTGTCGAGGACTGAGTAGGGCTTCAATCTGTACCAGTTTCTTCCTACTGTCAAGAGGTTAGCTTCTTATATAGAATCATCAGGGTTTATTGTCTCTGTTCTGTTTTCGGTTTGGAAACGGGACTGACTTACTGAAACCAGCAGGCGGATGCCACAGCGCTGTGCTAAGTCGATGCCACAGCCATGTGCTAAGTGCCCCTTGCCTGAGACAGGGGCAGGGGCAGGCAAACTTCTGAGGCTGGCAAGCCCTTCCTTGACTCTGGTGGATTTTGAGTCACCTGTTTACTTTTTTACAATTTAAAAGAAAATAGTTATTTACTTATATGCATGAGGGCACCCGTGGGCCACGGCACCCATGGGGGTCAGAGGACAAATTGTGGAAACTGGTTCTCTCCTTCCACCAGGTAGGACGTGGGGCTTGGTGGCAAGAGCCTTTTATTGCTGAGTCACCTCCCGCCGCGCCCCTGCCCGCACTCCCCCCGCACCCCTTCCCGTACACCTCCGTTTACTACTCTGAAATTCCTTTAAGCCAGGGCCAGCCTGTAAGTGCGTTTGCCACCAAGCCCCCCTCTCCCCCGATCCACGTGGTGGAAGGAGACAGCCGGCTCTTAAAAGTGGTTCTCTGACCGCCACACGTGCATTGTGTACGCATGCGCCGCCCACCTCCTCCACCCCTCCCACCCCGCCATAAATACATAATAATAATTAAAAAAAAAAAGAGAACAGAAAAGGAAATCAACTCGGAGTTTGACCAAAATGAACGTGACCTCAGAACTCAAGAACAACTTTTCTGTGATTCGTAACCACGTGGAAGAAAAGTTTAGGGTTAAGCCCGGAGGTGGGGGTGGAGAGAATGGGTGGTAATGGGGGCGGGGTCATCTGGTACCTGGGCTGGCGACCCCGTGATCCGGAGGGAGACCCTGGGAGAAACCCAGCCTGTTTCCAGGGTGCCCCCGCCCTGCACCCCGGGGTTCGTGGCGGCCCCACTGCGGCGGCTGTGCACACGCTCCTCCCTTGAGTCAGCACGAGACAAGTAATTTCCCATCCTGAAACTGCGTGTGGGTCTGCTGGGATGCAGCAGCTAACTTCCCAGATTTGCATACTCGCAGCCTCCTCTCCCCCCGCGGCCAAGCTCGGGTCTCGCCTGCCTTTCCACCTTCCCGGAGGAGGTGATTCTTCTCTCCGGAGGCGGAGGCAGGGCAGGGAGGCGAAGGCCAAGTGGCCGCTGCCCACCCCGAGGGAGCCGGGAGCGTGCGTCCTGCAGCTCGGACTGGAGCGGTGGACCGGAGCCGCGGCCGGCAGGGGGAGGCCGGGCCCGGGGAAGCGAGCGAGCCTGGAGGTGCGGGGGGGCCCCCGGCGGCGGTGGCGGCGGGGCGATCGCAAGCTGGATGGCCGGTTGTGCGAGCCGCTGCCCCTCGCTCGCCCGCCCGTTCGCCCGGCGGCTGCTCCGCGCCCCCCTCGGCCAACACACTCTCTCGCTCTTTTTGAAACAGGAAGTGCACTGCTGACTGTAACGTGCTGCCGGCTCCCAGGATGGAGGAGTGAAGTCTCGCGTCGCAGCGGTTCCAGCCCCCGGAGCCCGCCCGCCCGCTCGCTCGCTCGCCCGCAGCCGAGTCCTCGAGAGCGCCCTGAGGGAGCAGGGTGGCCACCTGGTCCAGGTGCGCGGGCCGGGGCGGGAAGGCGAGGGGTTGTCGCTCGCTCGCAGGGACTAGCTCGATCGCCTGTCCCTGCCACTATGTCCTCCTCCAACACCACTTTGTCGCCACCCCCAAGGTGTATGGGACAGGGCAGGAGGGTTCTGGGCTCCGCGGTTTGGGGACCTCAGGATGCTCCCTTAGATTGGTTCTGTCCAGGCTGGGCTGGCCCCTGGGCTGCCCTGGGACTGTCTGGGCCGCCTCCTGGAGTCAGTATCCAGCTGCCCCCACTACTTACCCTCTCCAGCTGCTGCCCCGAGCAGCAGCAGCTGCTCTTTGTTCCTCCCTCTCTGGCCCGAGGCTGTCTAAATACCGTTGTGGGAAGCCTGGGTGTTGGTGAAGTTGGTGTGAGAGGAACATGGAGAAGCAAGGAGGAAGCTGATGAACTCTGGGTAAAGAGTTAAGAGGAGTAAGCTAGGCTGGGAAACTGGGGAGGAGGTGGGTTGCTTCCAGAGGCAGGCCATCAGGCATTGAGGGGGATTGCGAGTGCAGACACACACACACACGGGGGGGGTAGGGACCACAAATGATCGACAGCAGTGAGTTCTGAGGTGTTTAGTCTGGTGTCTGGCTTGCTAGCCTCTGCTGTGGTTTCACAGTGTGGAAACACGGTGCTTTATAAATATGAGCCAGACGGTGTTTTTTTTTTTTAAATTTATTAAATTCCAGTTGTCACCAGACTGAAATGGAGATTGATTTTTCTCCAACTCACTAGGTAGATATAATTCCCTAAGCACGCCTTGCTTGGTCCCAGATGTTAACAGAAGGGGACAGGTGGGTGTATGCTGCAGACTTTGCGCCTTCAGTTCCGAGGATGCTCTTCTCTCCGCGGACTTGGGTTTACTTTTCCCTCGCTGGAGGAGACGGCCTGGTCTTATTGGACTGCCAGTTATTTATCCACGGGGAGAGGGCTGTGTTGAGGCGGGACACTAGGGAACCACCTTGGGTTGAGAAGAGCGTTCGATGGGATGGTTATTGTGACAGGTTTGAGAGCAGATGACAGGAGGGAAAGTGACACTCTGCCAGAAGGGGGGTCTTTCTCTTGTGCAAACTTCAGCTTCCGTTCTTTGGTTCTTTGGGGCAACCAAGAGACAAGACGATTCCTGAATTTAAATCTGTGCCACGCAGTGGGAATTGGGGCCCAGGGTCTCACCATGTAGCACTGAGCGTGTGTGTAGCACTGAGCGTGTGTAGCACTGAGCAGTCTGCAGCACATAGGTTCTCTTGCCTTTGCCCCCCCACATGCTGTATTCAAAGTCTGGCAACGTCACACCCAGCCTGACCACGTCATTCTAATAGCTATATCCTTCTAACCCTGAAGACGTAACAGCAAAATACTTTGTGTGTGTGTGTGTGTGTGTGTGTAAATAATTTTACTTTCAAGAAAACTCCCGGATAGGTTAGTAAGTTTGTGCCCAACTTCTTTCTCTTTCTTGCTTTCTTTCTTTTTTCGAGACAGGGTTTCTCTGTATTGTTTTGGAGGCTGTCCTGGAAGTCACTCTGTGGGCTGGCCTTGAACTCATAGAGATCCACCTGATTCTGCCTCCCAAGTGCTGGGATTTAAAGGTGTGTGCCACCAACGCCCGGCCCTACTTGTTTTTCATATGAGCAATTTGGAGACAGTTTCAATAATAGTGTCTCCCCGTTTCAGTGATTCTTTAGAGCACTCATGAATTAAACATTTTATCATATTTATTTTGTGTGTGTGTGTGTGTGTGTGTCTGTGCACCCTGTGTGTGCGCCAGGTGCCTGTGGAGGGCAGCAGAGGGCCTCAGATCCTCTGGAAGTGGAGTCAGAGGTGTTTGTGGTTGCCGGGAATTGAACCTAGGTCCTTTGGAAGAGCAGCCAGTGCTCCTGACTACTGAGCTAACCCCCCCCCCACCCCAGTAGAGTTTAAACTCAGAAATAATGTAGGCTTTAGGCGTCCTTGGCTGTTCGCAGGGCTGCTTTCTGTATCTTACGTGTGTGTAATCGGCAGTTTCTGGTAACAGAGAGGCGAAACAGTCCTCGCCTGGAGAGAGAACTAAGGTCTCTGAGAAATGCATCAGGGCTGTGCTAGTCAGTGGGACGCTGGGTCTTAGACAAGCCTCTTGTGTTGGTGGCCCTCAAGTCATTGGTAGTCTGGGAAGTCGTTGCCTCAGGAGGAGAGAGCTGTGTTAGATCAAGTGGCCCTTTGTCAATCCAGAAAGGGAGCTCTGATCAGGCGTCCCCCGGTAAATTCGTTGAACTTTACATTAACACATGAATTTTTATTTATTTATTTTTGGTAATGGTCCCTAGAAGGGGCTGTGGGTATGGCTTACATACTGTGCAAGAAGCCCTAGGTCTGATTCCCAGCTCTGTGTCGATTTTCTGTGGTGGATGTATACCTGTAATTCCAGCATTGGGAAGGCAGAGACCGCCTAAGTGACATAGCAGTTGGAGGCTGACCTGGGATACACGAAAACTTTTAATCCAAAACAAAAGTTGCGGTGTGGAACTAAGTTTATTGCCTTCGCATGACTTAAATTTAAGGCTATATTAACATATATATTAACATCTTTATATATATGTATATATATCTAGAAAGATGTTAATTAAAAATCTGGCACATTTTCTCTGGGAAATGATACATAAAACACTTGTCGTCAGGTGTAAGTGTCTTTAGTGGTCTAAAGTCCTGACTCTGTAGTACTTTGTGGAAATGTTAGGGAGAGAAACAGGGAAATCGATGAATCCAGGTTTCCTTACATGCCAGGCACTGCCATTCTGCCTGCACGGAGGGCTTGCTTGAAAAGTGGGCTTGTCTCTCCCAGCAGAGAGACGGAGGGTGAAGGGTGGCTGGCTTTGATGTTAAATGCCAAGGAGAAGTTGGTGCTCAAGAGTGGATTTGCAGCGGAGAGCAAGGCAAGCTCAGGTTTTCCTTGTTTCAAAACCCTCTTACTTTCTTCACGTGGATTATAAAGTAAAAATTACTGTCTCTGTCAGAAGAGTATCGTTGCTTCTCAGCTCTCACAAAAATCAGGATGTTTTTAATTTACTAGTAGATTTCAGAGGTCTTGACTGGTCTAGACTTTATTTTTGTCATCTGTGGTGACTTAGTTACTTAATATCTTTCAACTAGATACAGAGTAACGATCACAGCTGTCTGTGTTTGTGAAATGGCATTTCTGAGTGTGCTGCAGTGACTCAGGGTGTGGGATCCTCCCCCCCTTGGGACCTTAGCCCAACTGTCCAGACGGAAGAGTGGCCACATCCATAGTACATTGCCCCTCAGACGGTAAGGGTTCCTGGGTGTGATTTTCTTCCTCTTTGATGTGCGAAGTCCTGACTTCAGATCTAATCTGAAGTTGTTTTTCAGGGTCAATTTTGAAATCTAATAGTTACTCGGTCATGGGTAATGGGGTTTCTTCTTATCCTCCACCCCCACCCACCGTGAACACCCCTTGCTTGCATTTGCCAGGACTGGGACACCACCTGCGGACTCCCTGCTGTCTTGGCTGCCTCCTCCATACCAACCAGCCTTGTATTCATCTCCCAGAAGCCAAGCGCGTCTCACCCTTAGTCTTTACAGTGTGTGCTAAGCACGTGGAAAGGGTTCTATTATTTGTTCCTGCTCTGCAGCGGAGAAAGAGTAGACATTCATATCGAATCAGTCTCTCTGGCTATTATGACAGTTTTGTCACTGTTCTGCTTAATATGCTTTAAGTGGGTCAGCGAAGTCTACTAGGGCTAGTATATGAAGTTCTTCATCTGGCTAAAAGAGAAAACATTTCTTAGGCCAGGCATGGTGGTGTGTGACTGTAATGCCAGTACTCGGGGAATGAGTTTGAGGCTAGCCTGGACTACACACTGAGACCTTGTTGCGTATGTGCCCGTCCCCTATTTAGTTAATGTCTCATATACTTTCCAGACACTTGTATGGATGGTCTGTGGTTCTCTTGGTGCTGTGCATGCTGGGTAATGACCCTGTTTGTGGAAAGAAACAGAGACAGGCATAGATTGTGATTTACATAGACAAAGCCTGGCCTATTCCAGATGTGTGGAGGCCCTGTCTTAAACATCCCCCCCCCCAACTCCTGCGCACATGCTCTCTCTGTCTGTCTCTCTGTCTCTGTCTGTCTCTCTGTCTGTCTGTTTCTCCCCCCCCCCTTTTCTCTCTCGCACCTGCAGAAAGCAGAGATCATGGTTTGTCTAGTCTGACGTGCCTTTATGGTGATGGTTAAGTTCAAACCTTGGTGAGGGTGCAGATGTTCGGGAGAGAGTTGTGAGGGAGCCAGTGTTTTTTGTAAATAGTTTTGACTTTCGTAGATGATTTTCCTTTTCTTTGAGGAGCCAGGATGCATAGAGTTATTGGCCTCAGTTTTTAATAAGACTTATTTTTTTATGTATATGTGGGGGGTGAGTGTGTGCCCATGGAGGCCAAGCAGAGAGCGTTGGATGCCCTGGAACTGGAGTGACAGGTGACTGTGAGCCTCCCTGTAGGAGCTGGGCTTAAATGCTGAGCCATCCATCCAGCTGGGTGAGTTTTGACACAGTTGTGTGCAAGTGGTCTTACTGGATCGCCGCACATCTTGTGCTGGTGGTATTAGGGATTGTGCAAATGTCAAGTTCTCATCTCCACTCGTGCTCCATATGACTTTTTTTGTTACTTTGGGAACTGGTGTCATTCGCTATGCCAGGCTGGCCTTGGTCTCATAGAGAGAGGTCCACGCGCCTCTGCCTCCTGGGTGCTGGGATCAAAGGCGTGCGCCACGCACCACACCCAGCATTGCGTGATGTCTTGAGACTGGTTTTTAAGTTTTCATGCAAGAAAGTCTGTTGAGCTTTCTGTTCTCGCCACCACCCTCCCCTCTCTTGCCCCTCCCCGCCAGCATTTTTTGTTTCTCTAGGTGGGTCCACTTCTTTTTCCGTGTCATTAAATATACAGATGATTTTACGTCTCTCTTTAAAATTTAGGAGCCATAATGACTTATTTTACTAGC